GCCTGCAGACCTGGTGCAGGCTGAGCAAGGCAGACACAGCCCCTGGGGCAGGTGGCAGCCCTACAAGAGGTCTCCACTTTGTCCTTCCTTCAGATAGACTGCAAGAAATCCTGTGTCTTGCCCCATGCCTTGAACTTACTTCCGTAACTCCAGACTATCCCCCCATTTCTTTCACTGATTTTCCCACAGTCCTTCCATTTTCAACTACTTTTTAATTGCTCCCCTTCCACCTTTACATTCCTATCGTTCTGCAGGGCGAGCACTTCTCACACTTCCATGCTGGCCCACATTCTCCCATCCCACTCTGCTTTTCAGAAGGCATGAAGAAATACCCTCTAAAAAGAGTATTTTGTTTCAAAAGGTTTTTGTGAAGAACAGTTACCACCTTTGACGTGGTTAGCAGCACTGGCTGGTCTACAGGGACAGAGAAGATGGATGAATGATAGTAGCTGCTGAGGCTGACTAGTTCTTCCTACTGGGAATCATCCTAAAAAACAGTAGCCCTCAGGAACTGGTTGATGATTTTCATGTCCATAGCAAAACTTGTATTTTTTTCTTGAGAAAAACAAACCACTGAGTTGGAAAAGAGTTGTCAAAATAAATGAATTCTTAACTCTACATATCAGAGGCAGAAAACAACCTCTTGTCTCTTCTGTGGTGGTTTCCCAGCCACATCTGCAGACCTTGGGCAAGCAGGAGCCAAAACATCCCTCACTGACAAACACGAGACAGCACAATCACAGCTTGGCTCCTTTTCCTCTCCTAACTCACGAGTTGCTCAAAAATTCTGACGTTTTAATAGCAGTGCATGTTGTGTTTATTTGCCTCCCTGCTCTTTGTACGTTTTGGATTCATGTTGCAATCTGAAGGACTCGGAGCATATTGAAAAACAAAAAACTCCAGGATCAGTAGTTTTATGCAGACGCCAAAAATCACAAGCCTTGTGAAAAAATGGCAAGCACCAGCAGTGCTGGGCCCTCAGTTACCAGCAGTGAGGTGGGGTTGGAAACAGAAGACAACAGAAATCAAGTTTCGGGGAAACTTGTAATTTCCTTTTCCTATCAAGGGCTCTCTCTCATCTGTCATGCATAACCCCCTCCGGCAGGGAATGGCCACAGTCACGGTTTCTATCCAAAGAACACACAGTATCTCCATGTACAAACAGCGACTAATAAGCAAGGAGCAGCCTCTCCCCGCGGGAGCTGCCGGACCCGTCCCGGAGGCAGCTGGCGCTGTTCCGCAGGGCTGGGACACAGCCCCAGGGCTCTCGGGGCTGCCCCCAGTGCAACCAGGCAAATGCCACTTTCCTTCTGCCCTCTTACTGTATTAAACTTCCCGTAGAAAATGACACAGCCAAGTGATGGAGCAGAAGTAGACACTCCAACATTAATTACTAAAACTGTGGGAGGTTAATTAGTTTTACTGAATAATTACTGAAATCGTTGCAATGAACTATACCCCAAATCCAAAACTGTGTGCTTGTTTACCTGCCTGGAGATCCTCCGTATCTCCTGACACTGAACCTGATCCCACTGGAGGCACAGACCTATCTCTGACGTAATTATGTCTCCAGTGTTGTATGGCACAGCCCCAGCCCCTGGAATGCAGGTCTGACTCCCTTCAGTCTGCAGGTTACAGACAGCAAACTGCACTGCAAATCCAACTGAGAGAGGGAAGAGAGCAGTGCTAAACGTAGTGACAATGCTGGCACAAGAAAAGAGGGGAAAAACTGAGCAGGAATATATTTAGGCTATAAATTAGAATACTTCTAGTGATTCATGGTATTGCAATTCATTAAAGGATTACTGCCCCCAGCTGCCAAATCACATGGTAAAGCCAACTGCTCTCCATTTCACTTTAAATTAAAATGCTGGGCTGGCACAGTGACATTCAAGAAGTTCACTTATGTGACCAGGGAGAGGTCGATTGCTGGACTCTGGTAAATAGGCTCAGTTTGAATTTCCAGAGCTTATGTGGAGACATCCTTACAAGGCTGGTAATCACTACAGCAATGAGGTTCTAGAAAATACAGAAGTCTAACAATCTTTGAGACAAAACTCAAGGCATGTATGAAAAGCATTACAGGAACCTTGTGCTTGTTATGTTGCCCTAATGAATCCTTTGGTCCTATTCAGATAGATTGGGGAAATCCCCAAGGGCAAATGATTCAGGGCTGTGGTGTGTTTCCTCTACACACTCTGTAATATACTGCTTTTGTACCAAACAGCACAGTAATATTACCTGGGAAGATGTTGTTTACAAGCAGTCACTTAAGAAAAACTTACCTATCTAATGTTAAACCACTTTAATGTGGATTAATAAAATATCAACTTGCAATAATCTTTCTTAGAAGGTCATTTCCACAAAGCAATGTTTTGTTTGCCTGGCCCTTGTGATACCACTGTGGGCAGACTTCATATACACATAAACTTGACACAATCCCTGATTCACTTGCTTTGTCTTTCTGCGTCCTTTGTTACCAAACTTCCAGTTGTATCTAAATATATCCAGGGGATGTGTATGTCAGAAAGAGACATAGAATTGGCAACAGAATCCTGTCCAGGAGATTAACTTCATAATTGGCAGGAAGATCAAGCACTATTAACCTGCAGCTATGCAAAGGTACTTATGGTCACTTATACTATTTAAACAGTTATCTTCACCCCTGATCATGAAAATTTCCAATACAGGTAAACTTGAAAGAGCTTTGCATGGTTAAAGTAAACTCTAAGTCACCAGCATCTTTGTCAATGGGTGCTGGCATAAAAATCGGCCCAGGATATGAGCAGCCTGGGGATTTACGAGTACCTCTTCCATTCTTGATCTTTCCACATGCCAAGGAGATTTAGCAGAAAGCACCTGATTTAGTATGCAGCCATTTCCCCCGTCCTTCCTAGGGTTATGCAAGATCCCTGTTACAGACAATCTGAAGTCTTTATACAAACACAGTTTCCACGACAAATGTCTATGGTACATTCATCTTGGAGAAAAATAAAAGAATCCAGTAAAAAGTGACTTCTAGATCCTTTTATTGAAGAGTACTGAGAAGCACAGGACCACGGTTAAAGCAAATATGCAATATTACAGTTTATTCACTTGCAACAACTTTGCCTTAGAGATGCTTCTTACAAAAGAAGCGTCCCTTAGCAGCAAAGCCTCTCTAAGATGTCCCTGCTCATTCCCCCACCTCTGTACTGGAACTTGTTACCCCCTCAGCTGTGCTTATGCAGCTGTTTGCAGAACATCCTATAAAGCAGATCACTGGGATAATCTCAGTTAAAATAAAAACAACACCAGTTCTCTTTGAAGGAACATATTTAACCTGCAACCTCAGAAGCAGTTGCATCAGCAAACAGGAGAAAGCAGGCACTGCAATGTGAGGAGAGTAACAAGCAGCTTGGAAATGATGGGAGAAGATCAGCAGGAACCGCTCAAACTGGCTCCCTTGCCAAAAACATTCCATGCAATCAGACACTGATCTCCTCCTGGCTCACACTTAGTGGAATTCTTCAGACCAGTGAGAAATAGCCAACAGCCACATTCAGCACTTTCTGTGTATAACTTTAAGCCAAAAGAACGTGAAGAGAGACTGCACATAAGGGAAATATTGCACAGTGAAATCAAAGACCTTTCCTTTTAAGCCCGGTGTATTTTTACATAAAATCTAACGAATTCTAAAAGTAATATCTTTAGAAACACAGAGCTTTTTTATCGAGTCCAAGGAACAGATCGGCAACTTACATTTCCCACACTGATGTTTATACCTAATGAAATTTTGGTTTCTTTAAAGTCAGAAATATGTTTCACTTGTTCTCTAGAGGTAGGGGGCTGATCTGGAAAACCTAAAAGGCTCTTACAAGATCTTGCTCCTGATGCACCAACTGGCTCTGCAGCCTCTCCTCCTGGCCTTCCTAAGGCTTTAGTGGCAGGTATCCAGCAGTAGCTCTGAGACAGTGCAGCTGTAACCTGGGATCAGGCTGCTAGAGAGGATTTTTGTGAGGCAGAGCTGGGAGATGCCTCAGCAGGGATCAGATGTGGTGTTCATGCTCAGTCCCTCGCCCCGGGTTCCTGCCGGAGCCATGCTGTGGGTACAGCTGTGCCCAGCCTGGCGCCTCACTGCTCCTGCCCTGTTGCCCCAGCTGCTGCCTCAGCCTTGGCCAGGTCACCTCAGTGCAGCCTCAGCAGGAATCAGGGCTCTGGGCTGCTCCAGGCTTCTCCAGCACCGGCACAGCAGGACACCACCCTGCAGGCAGGGAATGAGGGAATGCCACCCGCTGCCTCCGGCTCAGCTTCCCTCCCCGAGCAGCCCATCCATCCCTGCAACCCCCGGCACTGTCATGTGCTGGGCTGCCCAGCAGGCACTGATCAAAGGTGACTCCCACCAGACAGAGATTTTAAAAAATTCCAGTGTTGTGCAATTGCCAGACAGAATCCGTAAGGCAGCAAATACACCAGCACGTTGCACAGGCTGAGGCACAGCCTTTCGCTGGGTGCAGCAGTTTCCAGAGGCACCTCTCAGGTCAGGTTTCAAAGAATAGGACATTGGCTACCAACCTTGCAAGAATACACTGTGCATGAAAGAAACAGTTGTTCTGTTCACAGCACGTTTAGTTAAGGATCCTCTGATGTAAGGGATGCCGTCAAGGGACCTGTGGTTGCCCCCTCTGCTTCGCAAAACTTTTAATTTTCTTCTTTTCTAGAAAGGCATTTGCAGCAGGTGGGTGAAAATGATCTTGATTCAATATCTCCTCCCAAAGGTTCTGCCTTTCACATCAGAACAAAGCTTGTAACTTCATCCAGGGTAGCATTTTCTGTATTCTCAGCCATGACATAATGAAAGATCTTTTGGCACCAAGGAGGCAGAGTGGTCAACCCATGTCTTTGCTACCATGGGTTGACCACTTCTCCTCCACTTCTTCGGAAGCTGAGTGATTTCCATCAGTCTTGCATGATAACAGGGTAAGGACAACTCCTCTGCTGTGACTGTGCTCTGCCTTGGCTCAGGATGGTGGTGGAGCAGGTGACACCATGCGAAGCTGCTTCCTCCTGACAATGGATTTGAGAGAGGCTGAGATCTCTCTGTATCGAAGCCCATACAGAAAAGGGAACAAAACTTTAGGAAGAATCATCAGGACATTGCAGACTGTCAGGGAGACCAAAATTCCTGTCTGCAGTTTGATGAGAACATTAACACACAAGAATGATTCTACAATAAGGGCCAAGAGTGGAAAGAAGTAGAAAAACAACACAGTGTTGTGCATTAAGAATGTTACACTGGCTCTGGAGCAGATGCTCTCCCATATACCCGAATGTTTGGTTTTAAAATACAGAATAGCATAGCAACAAAATATTACAGACAGGCAGAGAAAGATAACCGTGGCAGAAAGCCAGAAACAGAGTTTCAGAGCATCAGTCCCATTCAGAGTTAATATTAGTATTACTGGAACCGAGCACATTTCCAGGACACAGGGCACAAAGGTGTGGGTGCTATGTAGCACCAAGAAAAACATCCCAGGGAAAGCTCCAGAACACATCCATAGTAAAACTATGATTTTTTTTGTTCGTGAAGGAGGCAAAATAGTGATGTAGCGCAAAGGAAACAAAATAGCTACGTATGTGTCCAAGACTATTGCAACAGCTGTGAACAATCCTCCACAATAAGCCACTGCCAGCAGAAATAACAGGAGGACGCAGGCTTCCTTTGGGAGATGTAGGTGTGCTGCATTGAGAGCAGCCGACAGGGTGTAGAACAACAGGTAGATGAGATCAGAAAGCAGAGCATTTCCCAGCAGCATGTACCTTGTTTCCTGACGGATGTTAAATCGAGAGAAGATCACGAATAAGATGGTAGGAATGATGAGGACACCTGCCATGAGGCAGACGACTGGAGAGATTAAAAACATCTTCATGTTTGTGCCTGATGGGGTGAGAGACAATTCCTCCAGCAGAAAGTACAAAGTAGTATCATCCAAAACTGAGGAACTGTTGAATTCTATCTCCCTGAGGCGGCGCACAGTTGCATTTGACCTCCTTACTGAGGCACAGCCAGACATGTCCATTTCCTTAGGATGTAGGGATGATTGCCTGACTTGAAGAAAGCAAGACAGATCTTCTACATTGAGTCCTTAGAAAGGCAAATGAAGCAGAGGTTTCAAAAAACTCATGGAAGCAACGTGATTTCTGTAGCCAATTCTACCAGCTCTTCTCAAGGACAGAAAGCTGAAAGTTGCAAGTGAATTCTGTGGTGTCAAAAGATGTTTTTGCCTAAAGTGGAGATTTTATTTTCTTTCTGTAAAATCTAATATTTAGAAAAGAGAATGAATCTCTGGGAGGTTTAAAAGGGACTAAATCCCTCAGCTAGCTCTTTGATCAGAAATGAATGGGTTGATCATTTTCAGTAATTTGAGTTTGTTCTCATCACATTATCACTCCAATGATGCAGGTGAAATGTTGGCTTGATTAAACAAATATGCAACGATGCAGATCAACATTTCACATGTACTGATGGAGGAGAGCCATAAATGTCATTGGGTGGTTTTGCACCAATTTGTATGCAACAACACAATTGACCTGAAGATCAATAAAAAGGCTCTCAATCCTGTTGTAAAATTGTAGCACAATGGCTCTAGTGAATGAAATTACCTTATTTGTAGATGAAAACCATTTTTGCTTCAGTGAATCAAACCACATTATTCATGCTTGATAAGCCTTCCCCTGCCTTTTTTCATGCATGGTACACAAATACTGAACTCTCATCTATTGCAGACTTACAGACAATCTGAGAATTGTCTGGGATGAGTGACATACACTGTAATGTACCAGCATATCCTACAGCAGACTTGGGGTTTCCAATGTCCATTTGGAGACCAATTCCTGGTTTGCTGGCCAGGACACTGCTGCTGCACTGTGCTGCCTTTAATATCAGAGCTCAGGATCAGAGCTGGGGGTGCAACCAGAGAATTGTGAGGGATCTGGATTGCAGAGAAGGAACTCTTCAAGTTCTTCCAGGCATGGTCTGATCAGAAGAAAACCTATTTTTTTATTGTTTAATAGGCAGCTCCTCACTTAACCTGGCATTATTGTATTCATTATCTGCCCAGCACTACCAGCACATGGCAATGCAGTATCTTTCCCTCCATGGGGGTCAGGGCACAGCTCACCACACAGAAAGCTGTGCTGTGCCACGGACATGCTGGCTCAGGGCATGCCAAGCAACAAAGCAGACAGCTCGTGGAACTCAGCATCAGTCACCAAATCTTGTGCACATTTCATTTCCTTACACACTGATAGTTGGCATCCACAGAACTGGATGTTAAGACAGTTGACAGGCAGCACCATATGGAACAAAGGGACAGGAGGAAAACCCAATGATAATTTTAAGCACAGCATTTCAATTGCTATGGTGCCTGGGGTAGGCAAAACAGAAGGTGTTTGGTTTTGCTCACTCAATCCCGCATCCACTGAGAAGTATGTGAGCAATATTGATGCAATTATGCTTCAGGACCATGCCTTGCATCTATCATTGATGATGATAACATAATACCTTAAGCAGACAGTAGAACTGTTGAATTATACTGTTATTGCAAAATGGAAGGGAAATGATGAAAACTCAAGTATGCAAGTCACCTCCAATTATAATTTCAGATCTCTGTTAATGGTGGAAGTGTTTGCTGCCTCCCAGCTCATGGCACTCCAAGGATGTCCTGTCAATGGGCAGGATTCTCTCATTTCTATTTAAATTACCACTGTATTTTCCACCATCTGGTTAGGATTCAGTGTGAAAAAACAAGAGTTCGTTGTCATATCAGCTGCACACTTTTGGCTGTTAGAAAAATAAATCATAGAATGATTTGGGTGGGAAGGGACTTTAAAGTTCATCCCATTCTGGATGAGTGACTGCAGGTTCCCTCAGCTTTAACTGTGCTCCTCCTGAAAGGAACACAGGAAGGCTTTAGTTCGACAAAAATGGACAACAGCAAATAACTGGAAGACAGTTCAACCCCAGCAGATCCAGCCAAAGCCACTCCCCTCAGATTTCCACAGGGGCTTATAATTGTTCAGTACAGTTCTGCTAGATTTAAAAATGTGATAGGTTGATGTCCTGGTACACTGAAATATACCCAGAAATAGATGGCTCTGAGAATATCTGGTTGTTGTCTCATTTTCTTGACCTTAGGAGGCATTTCCACATCTGGATCATTTGCAAGGGGCTGGCAGCTCTGAAGACCACTCCTGAGGATTCTGAACTTAAGACAGCTCCTTGCCATTGCATCTCAGTGTTCAATATTTTGTGGTGCCAACCTGAATGATTCTCCTGCAATTTCCTGTAAACCTGGCCTTAATGCTCTAGTTATTGATTTTTTTAAATGCTTCCTGGTAAATTTATGTGGACACACTTCTTACATATCTTGCTGATGCAGACATACAGTATTAGCAGCCCCTCTTCTGGCTCAATACTGTCTGTATTGATTTTCAAACTGAACCACACACTGTTAAGTACTTTACTCATTTCTGCTTCAATAAACATCCTACTGAAAGCTTAGTTGTCTTATCTGATGAGTCTGGGAGATCTCAGAAAGAATGCATCCAGCCACACTGTAAATCCAGCAAAGACTGCACTACATTATATACTGTTACTGACTATAAACAGGTGTTGCTGAACTGAACAGAAAAGGTTAGAAATATTACTGTCTTACAGCTCTTGGTGTGGACTTATCTGCATCCACACAGAGGGAAGCTTCCTACTTCACGAAGAGTTTAGTCTGACCAACTGAACAAGCCAACAAGCACCGTGCAAGAAAGGGAAGCAACCTAAGATTTCCCCAGCCCTCCATCCCAAGAGACTGTGTTAGAAGGGGATACCCAGAGGAAGTGTGTGACTGCACTGCATGCTCACGTTCACCCCTGAGGTTCCCTGAACCATCATGTCTCTGTCTCAGTGTGACCATGGAGTCTTTGACTGCCTCCCCCAGCACCACGCACCAGGTCCCAGCCTAGAAACTGCTCCTGGGCTGTGGGTCTGCCCCAGACCTTGGGCTGCCTGGCCAGGAGTCCAAGAGCAGGGTAAAAAGGCTTCCTTGGTCTCCACCACAGCTCCTTGAACTGTGTTTTGGATGAGACAGGTGGGCCTAACAAATCAACATTTCCACTGGAATTTTGTTTCGTGGGGATATTCCCAGGCGTGTTTAGTAACAAAGCCTTGGCCTCAGGAGCCTTCATGTGCGGTTGCAGTTTCTTCAGCTTCCCTCCATGAATGTCCTTCTTCCAGGCTTATCCAGGTTCAGAAAGCACCTCCCTTGCTGGGGAAGCTCCCCCAGCCATGAATAGCCAAGTGCCCAGGAGCAGGCCAGCTCCTCCCAGCAGGGCAGGGAGAACCAGATTTCCTGCCTGTATCCATCTTGTCACTCTGGGGAAATGAGCTGCTGCTGCCAGTGAAAAAAGTAATTAGAGCAGTTTGACTGTGCTGTTTTTCTGGTTGAGCCTTCCCTTTTGCTTCTCCTTTACATACAAAGTCAATTAAAAGACAACTTTTTTTCTAAACCTGTAAGATTCTGTCCTTTCTGCAAGCCACAGGGGAGGGGTGCAACTTGTCCATGCCTCAGCTATCTGTTCCCACTTGGGTCCAGAAGGATTGTTCAGCCCTTGCTTGTTATTTGCTGTAGATAAGAGACATAAGCATTGCTCTTGTAACTGTACAAAGTTCACAAATAGGACATAGCAATTACTGAAGTTAAGGAAGTAAAGAAATGGGTGTGAAAACTAAGATCAGATTACAATGCTTGTAAAGGTCAAAGGAAACCTGAAACAAAAGCAAACAAGGATTAGAGAGTGCTTATTTGAAGACATTTTGATGAGGCTCCCAAACAAAAGAGAGGACATTGGGAGAGACTGGGAGGGCTCAGCATTAAATCCCTGCATCACTTTTCCTAATTCCAAATACCATCAAGACACTGTCATCACAAAGCCAAGGTAAATTTTGTACCAAATCTGCCTTCAAGGTGCAGTATTAAGAATTAAGGGGGTGTCAGAAGAACAGAATTTTGGAATATTTGACTGTAAGTCCCAGACAACACCTGCTTTCCTGCAGGTCACTGTGTGTCCCTGACTGCTGTGAGCTGTAGCCAGCAGAACTCACCCATCTCCATTCCCTGAGCCTGGCAAGGCAAAGCAAGATGGCTTTTCCTCCTCTGCCACAGTAATTCTTCCAAGCTGGAAGGACCTACGTGGTTGAACCACTAACATGTTTTCTGGTGACAAGCTGCAGATGTGACCAGGGATTTATAGCAAACAACTGCTTTTCATGGTCATTTATGGACAGACTCATGGGACATCAAGAGAAGCCATCCTAGACTGTTTCTCAGATTTAATGATCTCTCCTGCCTACCTACTTTTCATAACAATGCATTTGTGAAACAGGACAAACAGCCTACTAATTAAGGCCTATTTAAAAAATATTATCTTCTTTCCTGAAGCAGTTTAATTTGTGAGGAGAAACCTTGCTTAAACTTTGAATGCTGCACAACACTGGTGCTAACAGGAGTTATCTATAGAAATCTAAGGCCTTTAGATAAAGAACAATAACATATCACTCTCATCTGAAAATTTAGCATCTATCAGAAGAGATTAAACCCATATTTAATATCACATAGAGTCATGAGCAGAACTAGAAGTACACATCTGAATTGGTGGCTTTTTCACTCCTCCTTTAAGACAGGGAGAAAGCTCCTTCTCATAAGAGAAAGTTTCTCAAATGGAGGAGCTACACACACCCCCCCCAATCCCTTAGAACACCATTCCATCTCAGATTCTCTGTCTTTTTGATGGTTGCTGGCACCAAAAGCTCTGTGTCTCTGTTCTGTCTCACCTGCAGTGATCTCCAGCATCACCTAGGAAGGGCTGCTGCTGGCAGGCAAAAGCAGAAGCTACCTGGCCATATGCCCGTTTTAACATGTTTTGTCTCCTGTAAAAAGCTAGGCAGTACAGGAGAGGTTTAGCACGATACTTCCTTGAAGGATGATTGGATGAGAAGGCAGACAGATGGCTGGAGAGTGCAAAGTGCAAGTTAAAATGAAATACCAAAACAGAAATGGAAGAAAAAAAGGCAGAAGAGACAGGTTGGCATATACAGGCAGATAGACAGGGGCTTTAATGGTGATGCAGCAGACAGGAGGACCCCAGCCACAGCTGTGCACTGTCACAGTTCCCTCCTGACAGCTTGGAAGGGATTGCCTGCCCTGTACAACCTGGGGGGCAAAGATAATAGAGGAATCAAGATGGAAGAAAACACTCTAGATGTGGAGTCGAGACAGAAAAGGGAGGAAAAACACAGTGTGAAAGAAAATACACATTATCTCTTCCTATTCATGCCTTTTGATGACAGGCTGTGAATGAATGCATACAATCTGTACATGGCATGGAATAGCACAAGGCACAGCACCATCCTGGAGAGGAAGGAGCCTCGCTGCCAAAGTTAGGATGCTCCTCCCCAGTTCCCAGTGCTGTACTTAGGGTGGGCAGTGGTTCCCGGGTGGCAAAGACGCTGAAGCAACATTGATTGTCTGCAATGACGCTGCCCACAGGGAGACACTGACCTTATCTCACACTGATGGAGCAGGTGCCAGGCAGAGCTGCCATATGGCACAGGGATTAACTGCCAGCATGTGCTGAATAAGAGTCACAATCTCCTATTAGCCGAGCAGGAACATGCCGTGGGCCTTTGACACAGTGCCATTCACCAGCTCTCTTGTCCCTCCCCGCCAGCTCCTTTGTTACTTATTCAGCACAGGTTATTAAAAATTAGATTTTCTCCACAGGAGGCCTCACTC